TCACTGCCACACAAGACCTTTCTGTTCAGGGATATCCTTCAAGCTGCTCAAAATGGTCAACCACGTTCCCAGAAATTGACAGACAGATCAAACGTACTCGATCTCCAGGCAGTCACCGATGCGCTTCGCCCAAAGATAGATGACTTGCCCAAGCAAGCCCTTCGCCTTAACAACTTCGAGGAGTTCAGGCCAAGCAGCTCTGTCCAAGGGAAGGTTTACGTTGGATCGCATCTTGGCAACTGCGACGTCGCCTGGTCCAGTGCGCACGAAGATGCTATGCCGACGGTCCGTCATGAAGACCGTCTGGCCTTTGTATTGAGGCAGATCGCCCGCGGCGTATTCAAGTGCGCGATGAATACGGAGTATGAAGCGCTCATCACCGTACACATTGGCGGCAATATCGCCGCTCGCCATGGTAGCGCTTTGTTTGATCGCCTCCTGGAGCCAACGAATGGTGTTCAAATTATGACAAGCCACCAAGAGGTTTGCTTACCTGCTCTATCACAAAGCCAGAGTCAAGAACTGTCTGTTGTATACACCGGGCATTTGCGTAGAAGGTCTTCTCAGGCAGGTCGCGCGGCGACTTTCCCAGACGCTTGGATATCTTGCAGACTTCCTTATGTTTCGGCCAATCGGCCTGGTTGTGTTCTTTGCCGCAGTAAGCCTACGCGAAGAGTAAGTGAGTATCCACTCGCATCAGACAAGCGTGCAACTTACAACAGACTTGCACCTAGACAGAGATAGCTTAGCCTTATGGGCTCTGACAGAAAGGAGAGACCACACGCACGAGGAGCAAAAGAGTTTACACCCCTCTTTACCGCAAGCGCTGCAATTGGCTATCTTCTTCGGCTTGACGCCGGTCTCAAGCTCTTCTAGCGCTCTATGCGAGCGTGTTAGACTGAAGGGCCGGCGCGGAACATTTGATGAAACATACAGCCATCGTAGGCGCAGGCAAGGCGCCATGAAGCTAATGCGAGTCTCCTTTGCCACATCCCGCGAGATACCGTTCCAATGGCTCTGCTGCTCATCGATGTAATCCTGATCCATGAATGTGGAATTCGCCGAGAGAATACGAGCCAGGGTCCGCAGGTGCACCTCCGAGACCTCGAAGCCAGCGCCGGTATGAAACTGAATCTGCTCTCGAGCCTTTTTGGTCGACATGCCTTTCTTCTCCAGCTGCTCCTGGATGTAATTGAAGAACTGAAGACCGTCCTGAAGAACACATTTGGATCAGACTGTCGTTTGCACGGTTACGAGTCACACATACCTTGGGACGACCCTCAATGTAGGCGTAGCGCATGAGGATTACAGGCATCTTAGGTGTACGCATCATAGGTACCAAAGGACCTATTAAACCCGTTCATTGACGGATGAAATCCGAAGTCGCTATACATACCATCTGCGGCGTGCCCGAACTTGGTCTCTTGACATTCTCTTATGATCTTCCACTCCTTATATGACGTTAGTCACCGTTCATCGCACAAATGGGCAATTTCCCACTTTCTCAGACGGTTCAGGCCACGGTGCTTCCTTGACATCGACCAGTTGTATGACGAGCATAGTCGCAGGGACCTTCGGGCCATTCTGAGGGCCCTTTGAGTAGAAAGTGACGAAGGGGATCTTATCGCCGCCTTTATAGATTAACAAATCTGACCTAGACTATAAGACAAAGAGAAACTGGCTTACCTTCCTTGGTTATCTCCTCCGCCAGAGTCCTCATAATGTTACGGGCGCCAGCCCAAGCGCCGTGCATCTGCGGCGGCGGGTTCCTGAAACTGCCGTCCATGTTTTCACGTTGCGAGTAAACAGACATCTGAAAGTGGCGCATGACCCAGCTGCACAGCTCATGAGTTTATTGACGCACGTATAGAATGCACATTCAAACTCACGAATCAAGTTTATCTGCGTCCCGGTATCCATCTAATTGTAATTGCCCGTACAACGTGCGCTGCATTTGGCTTTTACGCCAGGTAGGCCACGTAGGAAGTTGATCCACAGCAAGTTTGTGTTTCCCTTCGAAAGTCTTCCCGTGAAAGATGTAGTCGAGTCTGCAATACTCGGGAGTCAGGCGCCTCAAGGTGCGGCGAGGCGTTCAGGCCTTGCGCACCGTTGACTATCCCAAAGGGCAAGCCGCAGCTTCTCACGTATGTCCTCTTCAGTATCAGGAGACTTTGGGGTGAGCCCATTGACACCCATGAGCTTGAGAAGGACCAGCATGTCGATCTTGCCTAGCATCGAAAACGATCCCAGATCTTGATCCGGGTCCGCGATGGACATTAAGTTCGCAGCTGCGGCGATCTCTGCGTCTGTAAGATATTCATGGCCATCCTCTGCCGTGTATGGCATGATGGACAGTGGAAAGTATTAGGATAGTAGTGTGGAGGTGATGATAGGCGAAGGCAAGGGCAGCCAAGTCGCGCGTCCGACGCGTCGCGATACACCGAACGCGCACACGTGAGTTTCGTCATGCACCAAATTGTAGATCTGATGGACTCCGACTCATAGGATAGCGGGGTCATCCTGTCGAGCATGTCAAAGCAAAATAGAGAGCTATTAATACATGATCTATGGAATGGTAGACAGCAAGTCCGTTCTCGTGCATGCAGTGACATCGAACCCATCGCCCAATCAGATCATCCATCGTTACATCAACGCCGGGCCCCCTTGAGAGTATCGCACTTCCCACCTCACATTGTAATACTCTCCGTGATACCAGTCCATGACACGACGGCCAGCAATAAGCGACATCGTAGATCCTGGGGTTCCGAGAAGGCCTACGCCGGACGACTGTATAACTGCGTCAATCAAGACAGGGTACCTATCATCAACTTGATAAGCGGCCAGTCAAGGACGAAAGGTTGATCGGGCGCACCAGATACCGTACTGCTCTTCCGTTTTTTCCTCGATATGGTCGGGCGTATACCAGCCCATTAGACGGACAGAAGCCCACCAACCTTCATTCGTTTCATCGGAGACCATGACAACGTGTTGAGGTCGAATGCCGAGGCGAGCTTCTAAGGCGTCCTGGATATTGGTGATCCCTTCAACGTAGTCTTCTATGGTCGGGAAGCAATTCTCCTCGTCAATGCCGCGTTCCCTGCAGTACACTTTGAAGTCACCCCGCCGCGCGTGAATGGTAATGTACTGAACGCGATGAGTACAACGCTTATGACTCAAGTGTGTGTCCATACCTGTGGGATATCCTCGTCTTCTGTAACACCAAACATACGTCGCAAATAGCCATCCGCAAGGTTTTGTAGTTCGGCTTGTGGCAAAGTTGAGTGGCGAAACACCCCAAGATAGCAATGTGCTCACGAGTGAAGTGCATATGTGTAGCCACGAATCGCCATGCGGGACTGATTTCCGTGTAGAACTCATCGGCCTAACTTTGACATGAGAGACGGGTGAGTACAAACCAAACATGCGCACGCACTGTGGTGGAGGCACTGTAGTAGAGGTAATCAAAACATGCCAGATCTAGATGCGCACATCAGCATTCGGTGAATAATACACGAGGGATATGGCGTACGCTCATCGGGTGGCAATGTGACCCCGTGTTCTTTCGACGGCGTCGGAGGTACTAAACTTCGCTCACGCCCGTACTGAGCACATATTAGATAACATATGACTCAAAATGAGTTAGACGCACTTTGTAGGTCAGACTGGCCATATCCCAGAATCGCGCGGTTCTATCATTCGACCTATCCGGATAGAGCTTGATCGATGAAGGTGCGGTTGTCCAGGACACGTCTAATTTGATGGTCAGACGAACATGAAAAGGATGTTAGTCGAGCTACGCGCCTAGTCCTTGGTCGCCCAGTGTATATATGATGCGGGGATAGTGTTCGTCGTTCTGTACGGCTTCCCCTGTAGCCGAGAGACGGGCATGAGTAATTCCGGAATATGCATGCGCGGGCAAGGGTGCGCACATATATTCCAGCATCCAATCTCTTCAATCTCTTCACTGTCAGGATCCTTGACCTCGTGCCACTGAAGTACAGGCAACCCAATGTTCTCGCTCAAAACATCAAGATCGAATACCTCGTCGAACGGAATAGACCCAGCGGCTACTCCAACCTGAGATCAGTGAAGTCAGTGCGCATGTCGTAAAGCACCCAAAGAAGGTGTGGTACATGCGAGGGATTGAACACGTTCACTATGGGTACTCTGCCAGTGATCAAACCCAGATAGATCAAATTTGCCTAACAAAGCTTCAGACGAGTTAGCTATAGCAATGAAAACCTGCGCACGTAGGTCATAACATCATTTGCTAAGCGGCGTTCAGTACTGGTCCGCGAGAAATATGTATGGCGACGTACTCCAGCCAGCAGAGATGAACGCTGGGCAGACGTTAGCGAGCGGGAACCCGTGGTGAACAACGCGCAGTGCGCACAATGTATATAAAGCGTGTCGTTCCGCAGGTTATCTGTGCGCGTATGTATTCAGCACTCCAGAACTTCTGGATACAGACAGCTGCGCACCTCTAAACCTCGATGCAGGTGGCCCGAGTAAAGCACTTAAGCGGCTGGGAGTGACCGACGAATCCTCCACTATGCGAGCGTCCTCCTGTAGTGGTGCCGACACTCGCGAGCCTGAGTGTGAATATAGCGCAAGTGCTGAGAGGGAAAGGAATGACAGGGCAATTAGCGGGAGGATGAGAGGTCGCCTTCGACCCCATGTGGAGAATCTCGACGACTTGTTGGAAGACGCGGGATTTGAAGGGATGAAGGGCGAGGTTGGGGAGACGTCCTGGTCGTCTGGGCCCGAGTCGGGGGTCGGCGCACCGCTCATCGTCGTCGTTGGCAAAGTTGCCCCGCTCGACGGAAACGCACTCAAGACCGGCGGTCACGCAGACTTGACATGAAGTGGCTTCTTCTATACGATGGCTAGATTGGCGCCATACAACGTTGCCGTAACCGGTAATACGGCGCCGTAGTTCTGTCCTGGTCCTCAGCTCAACTTATGACAATCATATACTACAATGTGAGGGTCACTTTCAAGTCCCTGTCGATTAGTGGTTAAATCATCACGTTGTGGCGCAATGCGATTCCGTGAAGCCGGGAGCTCGAATCTCCCCAGGGACACGTCTTTTTGCACAAGTCAAACGACGCTCGATCACAACAATGTCCACGCATGCTTTTTTGCAGCTTTTGTTGTGAGCTATAGCGGAAGATGTATGACGGCGTGTAGCATCGGACGGACCGGTGACGCCGTGGTGACACCGGCTGCCAGTACCTTGTGTGTGACAACCTGATCGCTTTCTTCCACCCAACTCCCACCATCGAAACCCATCCTAATGCAGAACCGAACCAGAGGCGTGCCCTGCCCTCGAGGCCTTGGCTGACCGGCGCTATACCGGGATACAAATTCCCCGCTTGACATCTCTTCGCTGAGCGCATCGCCTCATCCCCATTCTCCGCCTTGGCCATCGCTCGCCCATCCACACACCATGGAGACAAAACCGTCCGCGTGGAAAGTAGCCGCCGTGGTCAGCTTCTACATGGTAGCGGCCCTAGTCATGGTCTTCGTGTAGGGATTTGCGACGATTGTGCATTGGAACCCAGTGACTGACCCTCGTCTTCAGTAACAAGGCGGTTCTCATATCGACACCCGATGTCCCACTATTGTTCCTCCTCATCCAACTAGTGTTGGCTGTCGTGCTATTGCACATCGGCTCCCTTTTTACTCCGAAAATCGAGATACCCGTGCTCGATCTCCGCTCCGCGAAGTCGTTGATCCCAGTCGTGTCTGTCAACATCATTGGCCTGGTCTTCAACATGCTCTGCTTAAGAGCTGTCGAAGCTTCTTTCTTCCAGGTGCGTTCGGACTATGTATGTTCTCTGAAACATGCACTGACCAGGTATTTGCAGATTGCGCGCGGCCTCGTCCTCCCTCTGACAATCGCCGTATCTTCATACTGGACGCATACCAAGCCGAAAATCCAAACGGTATTGGTGTCCGCCGTCATCACGATGGGATTCTTCATCGGCGTCGCTCCAGAAAAGAGTTTGCCTGTCGCATCTATCCCTTCCGTCATCTCGCTTGTATACGGTCTCCTCTCCTCGCTTATGATTGCCTTGCACGCCGTTCTTATCAAATCGGCTCTGCCGATTTGCAACAACTCGACCATTCAGCTCGCGTACTGGACGAATCTGGGGTCGGCTATCTTACTCGCACCGTTCATCGTCATTGTAGGCGAGCCACTCAAGTTCATGGCTCTCGTTTCGGAACCCGACTCGAACGTCGCGACTCTTATCTGGGGCAGCCTTGTGACGGGCGTGTTCGGATTCCTACTTTGCGTCGCTGGTCTGCTCAGCATAAAGATTACATCGCCAGTTACGCATATGGTGTCAAGCGTAAGTCTGGTCCCGATCATAGCTGCGCCAACAAATCGCTCACGTCTAGTTTGCTTTTCTCCAGGCTGCACGCTCCGTCCTTCAGACGCTGCTTGGGGTCTGGATATTCTCCGACATTCTCACTGTGTGAGCGCACAATCCCCCGCTTCATGCGCTTCGCAGAGGTTGAAGTCTCACATGACATACAGACAGCGCATGACCTCACTCTCTGTCATCTTAGGCGGGACTATGTGCGTGCTTCGTTTCTACGCGCAATTTATAGCTCATGTCATTCTAGGTACTACACATGGCTGAAGTCTACGCAACCGGCGGCATCTCAGTCACCCGCTCAGCCTCGCGATGCCGAAGCTGCAGTTTCCAAAGATGGCGATCGAAAGGAGGAAGGGAAGTTCGAAGCGCGTTGAATTGGTTCTGCACAGTGCGATGGACACTTTCTTGGTGTTTTCTCCCTTTTGACCCTGGACATAGAATAAATATCATCCGAATATGGACCGTGTAACATGTAACGCTCGTCGAACCGCTTGGTCTAGTTCAGTTCGTTTCTGCTGCTCGGTTCGGAACATAGATGTCTGACCTCATCGACTTCGACGCGAGATGCACGAGGCGATCTTGATTGTTTTCGGAAGGCCTCTCGGTGAACCAACGCCGTCTATAGCGCCTAGATCAGAGCTGTCCTTTGTTCGGGACGCCGTGCAGAGCGCCTCGCGGGCTCGAATAGTCTTGTGCCTTCTCCGGCGCGAGGGACGTCAATTGAGTGCGTCGGAACGTGGGCCGATTTTCTCCATCCCAGAGAGCAAGTCGGAAACAGGAGATCGTGGAGTAGAACAACAGTAATACCGAGGCGGTATGAAGACACCGTGTTGCCCGCTTTCTCTCCGTTTCTTTCTCTTGAGATCTCATCGTTCCTGGCCTCCGCAAACGCCGACGAGCATTTGCGTGGTGAACAATACTGCCTTTTACAGATCGATGATGAAGTGGGAGAGGTTCCTCGGCATATTCAGGTTCGGGACGCCATTGACTGTTCTTGCGCCCTACGGCCCCTGCGGCTCAGCAGAAGGTGTGTTCGCCACTGACAGCGCTTGTACTTGTTGATGAGCCAAACTTCAATGCCCGATCTCTCGTTTTAGCACAATAGATCTCGGTGCGAAAAGGCCATTGCGACGTCAAGTTTCTAGTCCGGCTGCGTTCCAGCCGCCTACAGCCGCCTCGTCAAAGGCGCATGGCCATCCATATATAAGATTGGCATGTGCTCCAGCACATTTCCCTGGGCCAGCTTCAGCCTGAATGACAGACGACCGTCCGAGCAAGGCCGCCTCTATTAGCCGTCATGTCATCTTTCTCCGCCGCCGTTGACTCACTTCCCTCCCCCGTTACTTCCGACTCTGGGGACGAGGGCGCTTTCAACTTTAGCTTGCCTCCCAAGTCGCCTATAGGTGTGTACGAGCGAAAGTTGGGCGATAACGAGACCTCGTACTTCTTGCCCAGTCGCGCTGACGGTGTGAATGATATGTATGTTCACAGCCATCCCTCTCCTGACCCCAGTCTGCTGAGTGTGTGCATAATCGCAGGTATCTTCATCTCGGGTTCAAAGCCCCGCACCGCCTGGTACATCGCGAGCGAATCTCGGTCGTTTGGGCCCTTCTACGGCTTCAGCACCCGCTATTGGCATCCCACATCCGGATGCACAGCTACGATGACATCCGTTTCGTGTGCGTATTGTGCAGCAGGTCGAGCGCATGTAGTTCTCACTCAACACGTTCAGGTACCGACCGCCCGGTTCACCGGATGCAGCGCTCCGTGACGCGGACGAGCAGCTGGAGTGGAAGTACGAGGCAAAAGACGGTTTGTTGTCGGGCTTACCTATGCGAACTACTCAATCTGACCATCTAGTAGAATTGATCGACACGTACTTGAACGGCCCGAGGACCTTGTCCGCCACCCGCCTTTCCTATCTGATCATCTCGCACACTCCGTCATCGGATCCTTACCCGTCGCCCCCGCAGACCCCGACCGCCTCAGTCGATGTGGCGGCCATGCAGTCGGTCGAGGAGTTACATGACTTCTCGTTCTTCCTCGCTGCCGTTCACTCCATCGGCGACGGCATGGCGCTACACGCGTTTGCCAACGACTTCTTCTGCCTGCTAGGTAGTTCCAAGTCTGTCCAGGAACTGAACGGGCTGCTCGTGGCTGAGTGGGAGAAACGATGGGCTAGCCCCCTATCAGATAAAGTATGATTTACCTCCATGTAGCCATCTTCTTTGTCGCTGACCTCATGTTTCTCTAGCTCACAGCACTGCCCCCGAGTTACGAGGAAAGCCTAATGGTAGAAACCAGTGCCTTCCGTCGGGCAGTCGGACGCGTGGATTTTGAGACTGTCCAGAACAAACAGATCGTCAGTTCTAGCCTATACGAGCTCCACCTCGACACATTGTACTAACCGCCTCGTTGCGATCGCAGGGAGGGCAGGCGTTCCCTCGGCGCAAGGACCCCGTTCGCCATACAGTGGTGCCCACCCTGGCCTTTGACGAGGATGTCACCAAACGTATGCTCAAGAAGTGCAAAGTTAACGGTGTATCGATCGCAGGCGCGCTCTTCGCCGTTTGTAATGTAGCGTGGGCCAGAGCGACTTCGCGTGAGCAGCAAAAGCTCCCTATGTGCGTACTGCTGTGACGCCTACTTCTAACCTTAAACGTGGCTGACCGCTTCGCAAGGATGACCTATGCTGCCATGAACGTCCGCCCGTGCCTTGTTCCCCGGCCGATGAACGACTCCTACTTCTTCCTTAGCGTGGGCTACTTCAACGTCACTCTGCCTGCCTTCCTTCCCTCGAGCGAAGTTGAAGGCACCTTCTGGCATCGGGCGCGGTCCGCGAAGACACAGATCACCCAGGCCGCGAAGACTCCCATGCTGACATCGCGTTGCCACAACATGTCCATCCAGCGCGGGCGGCAGAGCCGGACTTGGGCAGCAGAAGACGATTTGAAGGCCGCCGGGGCGTGGACACCACCGCCGACCCCCGCCGCGACAGCACCTGCTGCGGCAATAAAGCCTCCCTCTTCAGCATTGCTTGGGTTATCGATGCTCGGCAACCTTGATGGCATGTACATGCACAAGGAGTTCGCGGATATCCGGATGCACACGCTCACAACTGGATCGAGGCAGCGCAACGGCGCGATGTTGCTTTTCGGGTATACGTTCGCCGGCCGGCTGTGGGTGAGCTTGGGATACGACGAGAACGGGTTCGAGCCGAAGCCGGTGGCGATCTTCTGGCAGAACATGCTCGATGCGATGAATGAGTTTTTGGCTTAGATTCGGACTAAGGACAACGGACATAGACTTGACGGACCTCTCGAGTTATCCATGGACATATATATGTTATGCCTTGCTGTAGCCTTTTCCGGACCATTTGTTGTGTTTAACGTGTGTATTTAGAGATGTATATACTGTAAGATACAAGGGGATGCGTGAACTTCCTATCGAGTTATGTACGATGCATGAGACTTTGGTAGTTGCATGGGACGCGTGGTGGGAGTCAAGCTTCAAGACTCAAGACTCAATGAGAACGCGAGCCTCGACGCGTTGTAGTCGGTCGCGTCGACGCGTCGCGCGCGCCAGACGCGTCTTGTCCTTCACTTTCATCTCCTGGCGCACTGTATTACTCGAGACATGCTCCAGCCCACAACACCTCTCGCTAGGCCTGCCACGGGTGCCCACCGCGCTGTAGCAAA